ATTTCAACCGCGAAAACCCGGACATGCCTGTCTGCGGATTTAAAATGGGCGACTTTCAGTGATTCCTGCAGAAAAACTGATTACCCAATTGTTCCCGGTACTAGACACGGTAATTTTTCAGCGTACACCAGAAAGAAAATTAAGGAAGTGAAACGTGAAGTATAACGGCCATTGAGTCGAATCCCTTATTTTCGGCAGAAGAATCATAATTGATCATTTCACCATGACGAAAAAGAACGCGTATGAGATTTCGCCAGGAAAAAAAGAAGCAAAAAAAAGTGCGGAAAAAAATAGCCAGCTCAGAAAAGAAACAACGCCAAAAGATAGCTTCCTTTCGCTACCACAAGCGAGGAGAAATTAGCGGGAAAGTGCTGAAATCAGAAAAATAAATAAACCAGAAAAAAAAATAGGTAAGACCAAAAAAAAAATCAGTGTATACAGAAAGCATATTGCACGCAAAGTGCGAAAGAAAAGCGGCCGATTTCGAGGCACCGACCGAACAGTTGGCTTGCAGCAAAAAATTTCCTTGATGCTTGAACATCATCAAACTCACGAAACCAGATAATGAAGTTTTAAGAAGAGAAATGAGCATCAAGTAGAAAGAACTGTAGAGTATCTGATTGTGGAAAGTCCACAAAAGTTCGAGTCAGAATAAACGTAAATAAAAGTTTTCTTCCTGAACTGAAGTTAAATTTATTCGTGCGATCCATAAACTTTAATCTGCTTACATGTATTAATATATAATATATTGAATCTCAATATCTCAAACCTCCTTAAGTCATTTTTTCTCAAATCACCCGTCTTAATTCAACCGGAAGCAATGCATTAAAAACCTCTGATAGTATACATGGGTTTCTTCCTGTCCATGATGATTTTATTGGGGCTATGATTGCATCTGTAGTTATTGTAAAATCCGAATTTAATTTTGATTTCATTTGTAGTGTAACTATTTCTGTTGAGTGCATACTGTTACCCGAATTGTTGACTCCTATAATTTCAAATGTTCTTCGTGATTTCTTTTTCTGTAAGCCAAGTGTTTCTACCAGTTGGTTTGAAATTAAATTAACTTGTGCTCCTGAATCTAATGTAACTATTTCTGTTGAGTGCATACTGTTACCCGAATTGTTTACTCCTATGATTTCAAATGTTCTTCGTGCTTTCTTTTTCTGTAAACCGAGTGTTTCTACCAGTTGGTTTGAAATTAAATTAACTTGTGCTCCTGAGTCTAGCAGTGCATATATTTTTCTGTTTGTTGGATGATGTAACAGTTCGGCAGTTTCTAAAAACGTTAGTGCTATACTTGAAGTGCTAGAGTATACTTCTACCCTTACTACGTCTAGTCATAAGTTTGCTCGATTTTCGTTGTTATTGTTTGCTTCTTCATTCGGTAACTCTATAGCTGGTTGTATTGCTTGTGGTTGTATTGCTGGTGGTTGTATTGCTGGGAGTGGAATTGCTTGTTGTGGAATTGCTTGCTGTGGTTCATTTGGTACATTTCTCTGTTGATTTAAGGTTGTTAATAATTGTTGTTGAAGTGGTAGTGCAAACATATTTTGAAATTGTGCAATACTTTGGGCTTGTACCCACATATTCCTCATTTCTTGAAGGGCTTGATCTACTCCTGTTGTTTCATTCTGTTGCACGGGATTCCTTTCACTTCTATTGTTATTAAACTTCCGGAAATTGAATGTCCCTTGATTTGGCGATTGGTTACGGAATTGAGTTACACTTTGATTTACTGGTGGTGGTTCGCTGACATATTTAAATGTATTGCAACACACTACAGCTCGCAACGTAAAAAATGTTAAACAACCCTAAGATGTAACACGATGGCGTACTGGTGATGCATCTGTCAACTCTGTGTTAGAAAGAACTAATTGCCGAAAACGTTTTTCCTCATGTGTTTTTGGGCAGTAAAATATTGAATGTTGTTCTTTGCAATATATACATGTAAACCTTCTATTTGGGTTCGTTGTGTAGTTTGGTTTTGAATTGTTTCGGTATGATGGTTGATTTGTTTGAAAATTTTGATTACTTGGGTTCATGTTGCTTGTACTTGGCATTTCATTTAGGCTTGTGTTATTCGTATTTAGATTGCTTGTGTTGCTGGATGTTAATTCCGTTTGATTTGTTGTATGTGATGGTTGGGTTTTTTCTCCTGCTCTAAATGAGAGAAGTTTTTGTGTATATTCGGGATCGCGCCTTCGTGCATTGTCTGAAAAGAAACTTAATAGCCACCTATATCTTAGTTCTGGGTCTTCTTCCCAAGTGTCTAATACTTCTTGCGTTAATTCCGAATCATTTTTCATTGAGAAAAATTGCCAAAGGTACTTACACAGGACCGAGTTTACGAGATCATATCTACCGGTATGAAAAGATACACACACAAAAGCTAGTCAACAATTCAATAAGTCTGATTAATGATAAAAATCATGAAGAGTCATGTATTCTGCCGCTTGTTCAAATGACCCATTTGGAACTGGTAGTTGTTCTAGTTCTTTGATTAGTTGTTTCTTTAATTTCGTTACGTTACCGTATTCATCAAGTGCTGTTTGTAGCATTCCTAGATAATCGTTTTCTGAGGTTCTTCCTTGATATTGAATGTAATTCTTTTTTGCTTGCCCATCAAGATGCATTAGGAATATGTCTATTCTTTCCCGAGGTTTTAATTGATTTTTGGGTGCTTCATGTATAGGACGAAAGTTAGTCCAAACCCTTTCAAATGATTGTTCTTCCTCCGGTGAGCTTGCCCATCAAGATGCATTAAGAATATGTCTATTCTTTCCCGAGGTTTTAATTGATTTTTGGGTGCTTCATGTATAGGACGAAAGTTAGTCCAAACCCTTTCAAATGATTGTTCTTCCTCCGGTGAACCACAGAATTGTACGAATGACTGTTGTAACGTTTTTGAGTAATTTTTTATAAATGCTGTTGAATTTTGACCCTGAAAATCTAGTTCACTTCCTGTTCCGTATCTTTTGATTTCTTCTTTTAAGGGGTTCTTGTTTTCTTCGGTATCTACACCAAGGTATTTGAGTTTGTTTGACTTTGTTTGTGATGTTGTAGGTTGGTCTTTCATGGGTGCTAAGTGTGTTGAATTGTGAGGGAATGGGTGTACACTTGGTAAGGTAGTGTTTTGATTCTGTGGGATGCATCCACTTTCGAACATTTTGTTTTGTAAGGTATTATTTGCTGCTTGTATTGATTGGAATGGTGGTATTTTCACGCCTAGAATTGTATTTAGAGTTGGTCGATAATTTATCCAATTTTCGATTAGTTCTTCTATGGGTGCCACAACTATATTAGTGATTTCATCTTGTAGTAGTTCGATATTTTGTTGCGAAGTTACTTCCAGTGTATATTTGTCAGTTGTAATTAACATAGTTAGGACTTCAGACAAATTCTTTTGGATGTTTTCGAATGTGTTTGTTTTATTTGGTTCGTTTTGCACTTGAATTGCCCTATCGGCTTGTTTGATGTTTTGAACAATACGTATTAGTAATGATACTAGTATGTGTTTTATGTTTATTGTTGGTATAGCGCTATGATATTCTTGAATGTGTTCATTGTGTATTTCGATTGGTTCTACTTCCATTGGTTCTTGTTCTGAATCGTTATTTTGTATTTCGCTCTGATTTTGTACGTTTTCTGGATTTTCGTTTGATTCGTTATTCGGAACTTGTTCATCATTTTCAACGATTTCAACGGAATTACTGGGTGGATTTTCGATCGAATCTTGACTCACGGTTGGGGGCTCTGGAGCCCCCCTGCTTACTGCTTGACGCTTCGGCCGACCCATTTTGTTGGTTGACGTCGTAGATGAGACTTGACACTGGCTTTTTCGCGCTTCGAGTATGGCACTTTTTTTCTTTTCACTTGCTTTTCTCTTCTTTACGTATTTCGATCTTTTTTATTTGGGGTTTACTTAGTTTGAACTACTGTTAGTTTTTATATGTATTCTTAGGGGATCGATTACTTTAAAACGCTCTGCTACCACTTTTGTGGCGCACAGGCCACAAAGAATGCAAATTAAGTTAGAAAATGTGAAAGGAAAAATAAAGGGGCGAAAAAATGAAACACAAACGCCGCCGGGGAACACGGCAGGGAGCTCCTCAGTAAGAGCTCCAAAAGGAAAAACGCAGCAAATATATTTCGAAATTCACAAGATGCAAATAGATGCTTACTGTTCGCGAAGTAAAACTGAACTGATTAGAAAAAGGAAAAGAGAAAATGGAGGCTGAATCAAACTGGTCCACGTTGGAATTCCCCGCTGGAATTCCAACGTGGATTCTCGTACTTTTGCGAGGCTGGCGACCTCTGTCCCCCACAAAAACCCCCCGGAGCAGCGACACCTTTTACATGTTTTAGGTGACGCGCGACTATTGTGTGGAGGACAGGGGTCGCCATCAGGCGGTTTAGACTACCAAGAAAATCTGTTGAGGTAAGAAGATTATGTCGAGGATTCGCTAATCTTCGCATGGAGTTTTGAATCAGAAGATTACTAGTCTTTTCCAGAAAGTTTGAGAAAGTTCGAGAAAAGCGGAGAAGAAAAAAGTGAGTGAAAGTGTTCCCATAGTGTCATCCCGATGTGAGTGGCCAGCTCATATCGGAATGCGAAGACGCTTTGCGCATGGATGTTATTGGGTGTTTCTCGTGTGAAATTGCATTGCGTAAAGAACCTGCTGCCAAATGCGGTAAAGTAGCAAACTGGCACAGGTGTAACGTAAACGAAATGAAAAACGGAAACGAAAACGAAAACGTAAACGAAAACGAAATGATATGAAAGCATGTGAAAGAGTGAAAACGTCGTCAGTGATGAGATGCGGAAATCGAAAGTTGAATTGAACATTCCAGTTTGATGCATTGATGCGCTTGTTGCTTCTTGAAGGAAACTTGAATTGCGCGAGTTGTCGATTGTGAAATTCCCGTATACGGAGGATTGACTTGGTGACGGTTGACGTTTTTGTGCAAGAACGGCTTTGTGCGAGGATTGTTTCACGATGGCGTGTGGAGGCCCTTCAAAGACACCTAAAGAAGCGACTGGTATGTAAACTGAAAAGACGCAAAAGATTAGCAGATTGATGCATTGCCATTTGTTAATACACAGAGGAACTGACGGAATTGGTCAGAAGAATTCAAACGATCGACGTAAACTCAAGGAAGAGAGTGCTTAACGGTGCCAAAGGAGCATCTCTGGACAGTGAAACATCTATGATGTCCGAATTAAACCAACTTAAAGGGGTAAAGTCGCTTTTGATTGAACAACGTCTTCGGTTGGCAAGATTTCTAAAGGTTCGTCTGTTTATATGACTATTTTTGTACAACTTACTTTCGGAATACAAGAAAGGGGAAACTGAAGAAGGGGGAAATGAAGAATTGGTTTGGTTTGTAATTTTGAATTTGTGTGGAATAGGTGATGCAAAGTGAATTCGTAGCCGAGTCGGAATTACAAGGTGCAGAAAGGGAGCTACGTTTAAAGAAGGTGTGCATTGCGGAAATCGGAGAAGAGTGTATGCTTTTGGAGACTAACGCGATAAAGCTGAAAGGGACAGAAGATGATTTGAGAGAAAAGATCATGAAAGATCAACTTTTGTTGGATCGAGCAAGGGAACTGCAAAGAGAGGCTGACAACGCCTTGAAAGAGGCATTTCAACGGGTACTAATAAGTGATGCTTGTTCGATAAACGAGGCATTAGGTTCAGGACGTTGGTATCTTGCCAATGATGTTTCCTTTACGGGACGTGAAGAAAGTGAGTGTATTTCTAATGAGTTAGAAGAAATCGTATGTTTCTGAACGTAATTATTTCCTAACGATGAATGATAGATGGTGTAACGACTCTGCGATTCCGTGATGCTGAATTGGTGTTGGGACCGAGTGACGGTCTCCTGCTAGCATGGGTTCGAGATATGAACAAGGGGTTACTTCCTACGAAAATTGCAGACGTACCAGATGAGACTACTCCAAATACTTCTGCTATAAGGAGAAGTATTGAGGTACAGCCAGTGATCGGCGATGATAAAGTCGTAATGAATTATGCACAGAGTGATGCTAGTTCTGTACAAACCGAATTCGAGCTACTTTCGGATGGTAAAGTTGCTTTGACTTGTTAGAACATTCTGTTTACTGGCGTAGTAATTAATTTGTTTTACGTACATTTTGTGATTTGTTACAGATGTAATTTGTAAAATATTCCTGATGACAAAATTCGTGCCCGAGAATGAGATGCAGTATTTTCGAAATGCGTCGCGCGCAATGAAGATTACGGATCGTCTACTTGATTTACTTGGGGACTGGAAAATCCCTTTGCCCATTCCTGGCTGTGTCTTCGAGGATTTCGGATTTGCTACGGATGACTATGGATTCACTGGGCCATTACGTGAGAATTCGGATCTTCCAGCAATCTTAATTCTAAGTACATCTATGACGAGCGGATGGGGACTTGGTGAATGGGTCTTTCGAACAAGGATTGCTGATTTTCAAAATATGCAGCAACCTATCCCAAACTTTGCTTATTTGACAGCTGGGATGAAAGTTGAAATCAATCAGGTTAGTGTTAAGACATGGCGCAAAAATAACAAAATTGTACATGACATTCAATTGATAGGTGTCAATTAGTGGATGGTGTGCCGTGATGCGGCGCAACAGTCTGTCCATGAAAGCCTTGAGGGATATAATATTCAACAGGTTGCATTTGGGACCAAGCTACAAGTTTGCGCAGATCTACTTGCGTATCGGCACGAATGATGTGAAGGGCCTTTGCACCTTCAAGTACTATGACGTCCGTTTTCCAACTTTTGAAGCATTTTACAAGGAATATGAGCAATTCATGGGAAATCTGGTTAAAACCTTTGCTTGTAATGTGTTCGCCTTGGGAGCAGCTCCACCCTCTGTGTCGCCATTGTTGGAGAGTCCTACGAGTGTGGCGTTAGATGCCGACCAGAATGGATTACCGTTAGTGCCTTTAAGGTGCTTGGACAATGTTGACATTGTGGAAGAAGAAGACAGAGAGAGAGCTGGTCGCATTTATCTGAATGAAATTTACAGGCGATTAGCTGGTATTGATGGGGTCATGAACGTTGTTGATGCGGAACGAAATCTGGGATGGATCGCTTTGCCTACACCCATTGATGGGCTGAGGGCGTATAGCAGTGGTCGTGGAAAGTTATCAGATTTTGGGCATATCACGCCTTCTGGTTACCTAATTTTTGCTAAGTATCATTGTATTTCCATATGGCGTGGGATTCGAATGTTACCAGGCTATGAAAAGGTAGTGGGACGGATTTGCTCAGGACAATATCCTAGGTGGCTTGATGATGGAACAGTGGCAGTGGGATTGGCTCCTGATAATCTGCATGAGCATAGTGGATCTTTTGGACCAGTTTCAGACTGTGTTGGACCACTAGATCCCACCGGGAATATGTGAGTTGAAACTCCAATTTTGATTAATGTTTAAACGTAGGCTGGAAATCTGATAATTAATAAGCTAAACACAGTACAGGAGAGAGAAAGAAAGAGAAAAAGAAAAAGAAGGGAAATGTAAAATAGAAGACTAACATATTGTTTGTAATTTAATTTGTTTTAGGGATCTTGCCAAGTTACGAAAGTTCGACTTTGACAAATGCTTCCTGACTGATGCTGCTACAAGTAACGCCCGGAGTCGGTCAAAAATTGAAGTTGGGGACATAGTGCGAATTTGAAACGTGAAGGGGACCAGAATCGTCGTATCTTGAACTCCTACTGGTTTTTGGACGGTTGGTTTTGGTGGTCAACTGTACGTGGAATCAAGTGATGTTGTACTCGCTTCTGAAACTGTTTGTTTGAGGGATGAGTGATGAGTAGGGGGTTTGAAAGTGACTATGATGTACGTACGTGCGCGGCTTATACGAACTGATTGCGTTGTGATTTTGTCTTTTTTCGATTGTTAGG